GCGTAAGGCAACAGAAATCTTCAAAATGTTATTTAAAGGGATAAGGTTAAGTACGATGGCTAATCCAGAAATCGCGCTTAAACTATTATACGTAGTCCTTTGTGAAGCCGAAAAAACATAACTCCTGTATTCGTTCTTACAAGTCAGCAAAGCGCCTTGTGGCCAATACAAATTCGCTCAGGCGTTTAATTTCTATTTCTATCAGATCGCTGGTTTATATGTTGATGTCATTTCCTAAGTGTTTAAGTCTTCATTTCGCAAAGGCAGAACAATCAAGAAGGAAGTGTTGAGATATTTCTACCTCGTCTTCTTTCATACAGCTTCTGCAGCTGACGTCCAGTAAGATTTTCATGCTTACAGCATGGACGCCGATAGAACAATAGCCTGTTAGAGCTCCCACAACTAGGGAACTGCTAGCCTTACTAAGAGCAAAGAGCATACTATCTGTCTAACGATTGATCTTGGGCACAGCTACCCAGTAGATTAGTTAAAGAGACTATGGTTTGAAATTTTATGGCAACTCTTGTTGTTACTATGATTCATCTAATGTATATTCAGCTGCTAATTACGGCGATATAAGAACCCATTTTCCAAAAGGTTAATTTTGCTAGTTTTTTCGTTTACTAATTACCAAAGCTTATTGCAATGAGGTAAGCAATTTAGCGCTCTAAACTTCTCGTTGCAGCTTTGGCGAACACTGCTTTGCTTTAAGCGAGAAAGTATACAAAAACATTTTACTATTGCGGAAAACTATATAATATTTTAAAATGCTAAATTATGTCAGTTTCGAATAATGAATACAAATAAAACAATAAACTTCTCCTACTTGTAGTATTCTTGCAGCAAATAATGCGGATGATATCATCGAAATGAGACAGCACAATAAATTTGCCACTGCGGACCTTAAAACTGCTGCTGGCGACAACTCGCAAGGCTAGCAGACAAGCAGAGCAGCAGTGTGCTGAGAAAAACACTCTCATCGTGTGAGCATCTGCAGAAATTCCCAGTATTTAAAAGCTCTCCGGAAGCTGGAGCGCAGAGAGCGTACCTATGTTTACGTTTCGATTTGGCATTCGCTCACAGCTTTGTATGTTTGTATTGCCCGCTCGTTCAGCTCAACTTAGTCGAAATCAAAGTAACGACTTTTATACATATTATACATATGTACGATTGCCAAATATGCGACCTGCATTCTTGCTTGTTTGGATGTTGGCATTAATAAATGTGGGTCGGTATGTGTGTGCTGTGCCGTTTGCTTGCATGTGTAGTAGTTGGTTAGCTGAGTGCTTCCTGGCGGCGCACTTTAATTGTGCCAACGGAAATTTTTATGCGTTCATTTACAATTTTTATGCTATTTCCAGTGAAATTTCAAAATATAATTTAGCGGAAATAATAGTGGAGCTTGCGTAAACATTTACGAGCAGCGGTGCTTGCTATGGTGCTTAGGTGTGTGTTGATAAATCAGCAGTGTTGTTAGCAATATAGCAGCGCACCTTACACGATTTGGGTCGTATACCTGTATGTAGCAATTTAGTGAGGCTCTGCTTAATGAGTAATCAAAAGCAAATTAATGCATAAGTGTCATGACTAGTTGAGTATTAGTATGCTGTAAGTATACTGTACTAATGCAGCTGGCATAGTTGAGTATTAGTATTCTGTAACTATACTGTACTAATGCAGCTGACAGTCAATAGTTTGTGTGCTTTAGTTATAATCATATAATATACGTGTATAAATACTATCATAGATTTCACTGCCGCTGCAGCATTAAATGATATTGCCATAATTCTAAATCCCCGCGCTTTTTCACGAGCACATTTATTGATATTTACTTTGCTCATATTTGAAATTATTACGCTGTTATTATTAAAATTTCTGTAAGCTGTTAATTGCGCCAGATAGACCACAGGCTATAAAATAGCTCATTTACTTAATTTGCATTTTAATGAAAGCCTCAAAATTTTATGGGTTTATTTTGTTACAGAAAATTACGATTATTTGCTGCTTTTGATTTAAATTTTTGTACTAAAAAGTTTTAAAATTTTAAGCATTCTCAACTGCTGCCTCTGTATTTGTTATTATTTATATACACACAACAATTCATATTCAAGGTAAGTGTATGGGAATTCACCTATGATACGGGTCTACTCTGAGAAGTGCACTCACAGTGCTATCAAGCTTTAAGTATTTAGATAAAATATTGAACAAGAAAAAACGTTAACTTCGGTTTGCAGCGAAGCTATGATACCCTTCATAAATATAAGAATTCCTTACAAGAACTTGATTTCGATCGGTCAGTTTGTATGGCAGCTATATGCTCTAATGATCCGATCTAAATAATTTTGGAGATTACACCATTGTCTTAGACAAAAACCCATGCCAAATTTTGAGAAGATATCTCGTCAAATGAAAAAGTTTGCCATACAAGCACTTAATTCTGATCGCTTAGTTTTATACCAGCTGTGTGCTATAGTATGTATTCCGATAGCGGCGACTCTGACAATTGAGCAGCTTTTTAGGAAGATAAGGATGTGTAGAAAATTTCAGAGTGATATCAAAAAATTGCAGGACTGGTTAGCGTATGTACAGACAGACAGACGGACAGGTAGGCATGGTTAAATCAACTAAGCTCATCCTGCTGAGCATTTATTATAACTTTTTTAACCGACTCTTCCTGCGGGGTGTTAAAAACTTTCTGGCAAGCTTAATATATCCTGTTTAGGGTATAATTACATCACAAGAATATTTTAAAAAATCTAAATCATATCTATTAAATGAAAATTTTTTTTTTATGTTTTCCATTAATTTTCCAACAAAACTGTGTGGAAAATCGCATTTATTTTTACTTTGATTTCGAAGAAGAAATTCAGCGCATTTGTCTAATCAAATTCAGCTGCTATTGGTCCGGCACGCGCACTTAATGGCTAATCTCTTAGCAACAAAAGGACAACGAGATATATTGATGTATTTGAAGTAATCAATTTTTCGCTGATTTAATGCTGCCAAAAACATTTGGCCGAAATGTTTAAAATGACAACACATTACTCAAGTTTCAACACATATGTCTAGTATATTGATATTAAGTATGTACCTACTTGGTGGAAATAAGTAATTTACTGGAGAAGAGATGAAAAATGGTGTAAAGAACTTCAGAAATATAGATAAAAAAACAGCTAACTGTAAAATATATTTGTTCTTGTTTAACTGCTGTTCTTATATGCCAGTGCACTCCTAACATACATAAAAGTATTTTTATTTGATAAACTTTAAAATTTTTCACGCTTACATTCGTACAGCTCACCACCACCTAAACGTGTGTATGTACTTATAAATATGTACAGTTAAGAAAACCTTTAACAACAGCATTGGCGATTGATTGTAAACAAACCCATAAACAAACTAATAAAAATGTCGAGTAGCAGCAATACCTTTAGGGGTATGGCAACCAATAACCAAAAGTCTCCGGTAATTTTCGCTTACAGCCTAAATTTGAACTAAAATGTCCGTGAGGATTTGTCAACGCACACACAAACCTAAATGCCATTGTTAAATAAATAAACAAGGTGTACCCACAACAAAATGGGAAATGTACCAAATAAATTTAAAGAAAAAGCAGACAAATAAAATAAATAGCAAGGAAACACAAACCAAGTGAGAATGATTGCCGAGCTGAAGAGATGCCAATTGTAGTCGAAATTTGCTGATGCAACTTACCAATAGAGTAGTGGACACCGAGCAAATAAGAACTACTTGTATGCCAACAGCAGTGACGTAACATCAACACCGTAAATAAGCTAGTGTGCCGTGGGATCGTAAATTAAGCGTACTAGTGTGTACAAGTATATGCACATACATACATAAAGCTAGATTTGGTTTTTTGGAGTTTAAAGAATACAATGCGGAATGGACCCTACAAGAATGGTGACAGTCATCTGACCGGTAATATGACAGTCACAGCTGGAAAAATTTTGTCAGCGCCCAGAACAAAGTTTCCATTTCACAATCAAATTATAATTCAATAAATCACAAGCAAATTATAATTCAATAAATTGTGTATATTAATTGGCGAACTTAATAATGCGTGTGCATACAGATATCACTTAAAAATATGGAACAGGCGCGAAGTGTGTAATATTATTTAATTTTTTATAATAATTTAAATTTTTTTATTATTTTGCGAAAAAAAACTGTAATTAAAATAAAGCTGTATTTATAAAAGCTGCTCAAATAAAATACAGGGTGCTACATGTTTTATGTCGATATTTTGAAACACAAAAATAAAAATTTATAGAGAATATATTAGAGATATTTTCACTAAATTTGGACTTATAAAATTTATTTGGATTACTTTTTGAATATAGTGAATAAAATAAGCGAAATTGTTTAACTTTGCTTTCTTGATTGTGAACAGTTAGTTTGTATAGCAGCTATATGCTATAATAGTGCGATCTGAATATTTTTTCTCAAAAACTGAGGAACTATGTAGTTCACGTACATACAGGCAGGCGCACAAACGGACATGTCTCAATCGACTCAGTTTCTTTTTGGATGTTAAAAACTTCGTGACAAACTGAATATACCCGGTTTAGGGTAAAAATATTAAGTTGGCGACAATACTACTCTTGTGAATGAGTACTAGCAAGACTCTCGCAAACAGTTCGTTCATTAAAGATTCTTATTATTCTTATATAATATCTTATACACAATTGAACAAAGGTTGTCAATATAAATCTTCAAAATTTTGCGTACTATTTTTGCGGTGTGAAATTATTCAGCGTTAGAATTCTGCTGTCAATGTTATTCAATATCTATATAACAAGATAAAAGATGGCGCACCCTGTATAGTTATTGAAAAAAAATTCCTTTAAGTTAATTTTTGCGTATTCACAAATATAATAAAAGCCTATTTTAATAATGAACGGATTTACTTGCATTTATTGTAGCTTAAATGTAAAAAAAAAATAAATAAAAAATAAAAAAACAATAATATAAAAATAAATTCACAAATTATTGTAATCGAACTGCACTAACACAATCAAATATAAAATGGTTGCTGTCATATAGCTGGCGCCAGTGCGAAAATTCCACTCCAACAAGCCGCAGAAGCGAAAGCGTACAGTTTCGCCTGCCATGAATATGCTAAGCATTTCAAACTGTAAATAAATAATATACATATATGGTATATAGTGTGCAGTCATAATATTTTACTATTTTATTTTTGACTTCTGGAATATTCTGCATTAACAAGCAAATATAAAAATAGTATCATATTTTCTCATTTATTTCTACGAATGCTTGAAATGAAGATTTAAGATTTTCAAATAAATAAAGGAGATAATTGTGAAGCCAAAAGTGGCAAGTTCGGTTAATGGAAACTTAAGTAAAACGAGTGAAAAGAACAACTTATAACTTAAAAAAAATAACAAGAAAAAATTTTCACTTCGGCTGCACCTGAAGCTAGAATACCCTTCACAAATAAAGAAGTTTTTATGCAAGAACTTAATTTGGATCGGTTTGTATGGCAGCTATATAAAATGGTGGTCCGATTTAAATATAATATAGTAGCGTTGGCTTGGAGAATATTCCGTGCCAAATTTCGTAAAGATATCTCGTCAAATGAAAAAGTTGCTCATACAAACACTTGATTCCGATCGTTGAATTTGTATGGCCGCTCGGCGGTTCCAACAAATGAGCAGCTTCCTGAAGTGAAAAGGATGTATGCAGAATTTCAGATCGTTACCTCAGAAACTGAGGGACTACTTCGCGTATATACACACAGATAGACCGATATGAGCATTTATATATTTATACATTTTATTGACGTATAAAAAATTTAATATAAAACTAAAATTAAATATAAAATTACAATAAAAATAAAAATTTTGGCGGATGAAAAGAACAACACACAGCTTTATAACTTATGTTAAATAAAAAAATTAACCATAAAAATTAGTATTTTTCAGTGCAATTAATATTTTTATACAAGAGTCAAAGAATTTTTCTTTTTTTGTTTTACTTACTTCATGCTGAAGCGTCTGCGGCAAGCTCTTCAATTGAGACAATTCCTTTAACAAGAAACCAGTCTCTTTGGACGCCGCCAAAGAACGTTCACAAATAACCATGTGACAGTATAAATCCAATATATTAATTAAGTAGATCTGTAGGTAGAGCGTGGGTGAGAACAACTCTTTGGGCAACACTTTGCCACCCAGGTAAACCAGAAAATAGAATGTCGACATGACATTGCCAAATAAGATAATAATGAGAAATAGCAACACTTGCCACTCGTAATGCTTGCACACTCGCTTGGCCAATCGGCAAATTTGCACATATTGATGACACAAATCGGCTATGGCGCTCACACCAAAATTTCTACGACCATTAACTTGCTTTGACTCTCCCGCCAACGGAGCGAAAGCGATATCAGTCACATGCTCAATCGGTATATTGGATATGGTTGGGGCGCGTTCGTTCCATAGCCGCAACACCTCTTGGAAATTCCAATTAACCTGCTGCAATTGCCGGCAGATATTGAGTATGGCAAAATGAAAATTGGCGACAGTCAAGAGTGTCACATTCTTCAAGGCGAACAGGAAAATGATGTGTAAGCCATACCCTAATGACGGATGCGAATTGATGCGCAGTTTACCGCTTACGTTAGACACCGCCTGCAGTAGTGCCATTAAGCTTTTGGCTATAATCGCATTGTGATAGAATGCTTCGATTTGATTATTCGATTTCACAGTCCACTTTTGTTGCCAGCGCTGCTGTCGCCATTGCATTTTCACCAAATCGTTATGCAGTCTGAAGAGCTCCTTTCGCCGGTACGAATTCGCTATGATAATCACAAAGAAAGTGCAAAATCCCAGCGCATAATGAATGTGGGCGAGCGCTGTATTCAACGGTTTGTCGCAGATAAAATGTATTTGGTTTGCTTGTGATCTTTGAAAATATATGTAAGGAGTGGTCAACGCAATTGCAATATTTATCAGCGGCCAATAACAGTTGAGCCATTTTGTGCCGGTCAAACGTCGTGTGCCCGAATCGTATTTGTATGGAAAGAGTCCGTGTGCGGTGGAGAGCAGGAACTGCATTGAAATGCATGTGTCCGCAACTATTTGGCGCAGTTGCCGCAACACGCTCAACGTTGTCTCCGAACACATGTTCGTATGCTAACTGAATAAGCGATGTAAGCTTAGGTGGTGCTCTAGAAAGCACTTAATGTTATTAAAGCGTTTTAGGTAAATAGTTTATTTAATATTTCGATAAGGTCAGTTAGAGTTAAGTACATTCATATGCAGAGTGTCTATTTAACATACGTTGTGGATGAGCGTTAGTGTTTTGCTTAAGCGATAGTTTTGTGGTATGTTGGAGTGAACTTCCTTAATAGTACCGAGTAATATTAGAAAGCATATGAGGCTGTATATTTATAAGATATTCATTGGAGGTATGTCGCAACTAAGTTGTATTTTGAAAAACGTTTTATACATATACTCGCAAAGCTCGATATTATTGATAAATTGGATAAACTATCTTTTGATCTGAAGTTTTATGTATTGGTTTATACTATATAACTGGAGCTTACAACATTGTTAGGTATGTGGCTTCTCGTCTCTATTTATGGCATACTCGTATGTTACATCTTGATGTTACTTAACAAATGGAGCTTTCCATAAATTGTGAGTCATCTCAGATATTTTCAGGTGGCAGAAATAACGTGAGAGCTTTACCATTGCTTGCTGCGACGAATTGATAGAAGTTTTCCGTCGCTCTAAATTTATTTGTCACCTCGGTTTTCTGAAATTGAGGTAAATATCTGATGAAATTTTGTAAATAAGGACATATCCCCAACCAATTTAAAGTTATTTGAAAAAAAAAGTGAGCGCAAACTTGCACACTTTCATTATTATGTTGAGGCTCGTAAATTATTTATGACCGGAAATAAAACAATATTTCATTTATGCAGTACTTCAACACATAATAACTTATGAATGGGTATAGATATGAACATATTATATATATATATATAAGTATGTTATATAATAGGCATAGACATATGTAAGTGCACAGGTCAAGCACATCTACTCTGATCTTACAACATCTCCTAAGAAGGAAGTGAGCTTAACAATTGCTGAAGAGTTGAAGAGCTTCCTTTCCTATTGTTGTTCTCTATTGTCATTGTTAATCAGTGAGTAGAGGAACACAAGAACTGTGCTTTTATAACACGACAGTCGACGTAACATAAATAATGCGGCAGATAAGAGAGGTGAGAAAGCGCGGATAGCAAACTGAAAGAAAACAAGAAAAACGTTAACTTCGGTTGCACCAAAGCTATAATACCCGTCACAGTTAGATTTTTTATAGCAGAAAATGATATAAAAGTTCTTGATCTCGCTTTTGATCGGCTAGTATGTATGGCAGTTATATGCTATTGTGGTTCGAACTGCACAATTTCTTCAGTGTATCCACTAATGTTTTGGACAATAATATATGCCAAATTTCGTGAAGATATCTCGTCAAATAAAAAAGTTTTTCATACAAAGATTTAATTTTTATTGTTCGGTTGGTATTGCAGATAGCATATAGCTGATAGTGATTCGATCTAAAGAAATATTTCGAAGATTGCGCCGTTGCTTTGGACAATAACCCTTGTCAAATTTACCCTGTTCAGCGTATAAAAAGCATTTAACTAACTAAACAGACTTTGAATTTTTGAAAAATACACAACAGCAAATCAAACTTACTAAATAGAACAACATTTTAAAAAAGAGCGATGATACCAAACACAAATAAAGGCAGCAGTCCATTGAAAGCATGTTTGCACAAGCAGGCTAAAGCTCTAGAGATGTACAATAATAATGCAGTCATATACGATTCGACGTTTCTTTGTGCACTATCTTTGAGCATTTAATAAAAATTCTCTTTATCAAAAAATTTACATTTAAAGGCAACAACAAAGCTCAACAAAGTTATTAAAGTAAAGTAGTCGCTTTATATTTCGTGCTACTCCATCTACAATTGATTATACTAGTTTATTTTAACTATAACAATTATTTGATCGATTCGCCACTCGCTAAGATTTGTGGAAACGCAGCTACTGCGGTGGAATCTGGAATATGTAAGACTACAAATCTACTAGCGTAGAACTACAATTTCGTTAAATTTATAGCATTTCGTAAAAAACCTTTATATAATATAAAAACAGAGAAAAAGTGCTAGAAGCCATTTATTATTTTTCTGCAATATACAGCTGCCGTCGAAGTTATGTTTTGTGTTTTACTGAAAAAATTAAAATCTTTAGAATTACAACCTATAAATTATATATGGCATATATACGACTATATGACACCCAAAACCCAAGAAAATGTATTTATTGCAGAATTATTATAGGAAGTTAATCGTCAGCAACAATGAATGTTACATAGAGAATACTCTACCTAACGAACGTCTGTAGTGCTGTTGATTCACCCTAGCGTATAAACTGCTGTGAGCGTTAAAGCTGGCTACCGCTTGTTTAGCTAAGCGTTGTATTATAGTGTAGTGCATTTGGCAAAGACTCAAGCCACAAACATGCGACCATGCTCATGGTAAAGTCCTGGTAGACTCGCATTCGCCACACTGCTTCGCTGTAATCAAGTAGGTCACCGGACTCATACTCGTACTCGCACCACTCTGGTTGCTTTGGCTTGGTCGGTTTGGCTTGTATTTAGGATACCAAAATGAGCTGCTACCCGTACGCTACCAGCTTGTTGACGGCGGTACAAACCACACTCACAACCGCACCGAGCTTGGAAATGCTGCTTAGCCAGACCGTGTTTGGAGGGTATAGAAATCATAAAGCACCATACACTGCAGCTGCTCTGGGGATTATATGCATTTTGGAGTAACTCAGTGGCGCTACAACAGCACAGCCATTTTCCAATAGCAGCAGGCGAGCGCACAATGACAGCGTGAACACTTCGATGCCACAAATTTCGGTTGGAAGCACAGCGAAAGGAGAGCAAACAATATGTTGCGCTTCAAGCACTTATGCACATACTTGTATGTGTCTATGTAAGTATATGTGTATGAATTTATTCATTTAGTTGTATTTTAAATGCAAACACACCGACACACACACAAAAAATACCAGTTACTAACTTGTTATGTAAGTTAGCCACACAAAGCATATTCTCTTGCTAGCTATTTTGTGATTTTACTTTGCAGTGTTGCACATATGTATATACATACACATATACAGCAGCAAGCGTAAGCATGCATTTGTGTACTTGTTAGGAATATTAGTAAAAATTTTATCCACTGCGGGACTTGAGTAGCACAAGCGATATAAGTACGTAATCCATTTGGCTATGCAAGCGTAACAACTTTGAGACGGAGTAAATATTGGGTTAGTACGAATGGAATCGCTTGAAAAATAAAATACAAGTATACACAAATATCATTGCTCTATGATAAAACCTTGTGTGCAGATTAATTGTGTTTATGTGTGGGTTTTGATATGGTTGTTTGAGCGGAGTGATTTGCTTAGCGCAAAGTTTTCGAAAAAAGTGCGTTGCAATAAGCTGAGTTTAGTCATTATGGCTTAAAACAAGAAAAAATGTTAACATCGGTTGCAGCGAAGCTATAATACCCTTCACAAATACAAAAGATTCCTTACAAAAACTTTCTTCGGTCAGTTTGTTTGTCAGTTATATGCTATAGTAACTTGATCTGACCAGTTTATTCGGAGATCGCACCATTGTTTCGGACAATAATTAATGACAAGTTTCATGAAGATATTTCGTCAAATGAAAAAGCTTTCCAGAACTTGATACCGATAGTCTAGTTTGTATAGCAGCTGTATGCTATAGTGTTCCGATTTCGCTGGTACCGACAAGTGAGCAGATTCTTCTGGAGGAAAGAACGGGTGCACATGGTTAAATCGTATCAGCTCTTTAAGCTGATTAATTATAGATACTTTGTAGGATCTCTACCGTTTCTTCTTGGGTATTACAAACATCGTGGCAAATTACATCGACATTATTCAGGATATAATGGAAGTTGTTGAGTCTGGTCAACATGTAAGTGCCGCACAAAACAGTTGTGAACCATTTAAATAATACTGGATACAAGTTAATGCAAAAAACCGCATAGCTCCAATTTCCATCTGCCAATCGCGGATGGTTACTGCTGATGAAAAGAGCATCACTTATGATAAACGGTCGTGGTCGAATCGCGGTGGCCAAGCTTGGGCTGACGCTCGGGAAGGTTTTGCTATGTGTTTGGTAGGATTGGCCAGTAATTATCAACTATGAGCTGCTCGCCTACGCGTAAATTCATGATTCGGATCTGTACTTTAACAATTGGACCGTCTGAAAGAAGCAATTCAGAAAAAAAATTGTTTAGGTCGGACCACTATAGCATATAGTAGCTATACAGATAATTGTATGGAGACTTTTGTATCTGATAAGTGGATTATAGTTTTGGTGCAACCGAAATTAATGGTTTTTCTTTGTTTTATAATAAAACCTGCCATCACCTATTAATTTTCCATAAAGTCTGAAAGCCTTTCCGTAAGTACACAATATTTATGGGCTTATGTATGTGCGTGCGTCTTTCAACTTTTTTGTCATTTCTTAACACTATTTTTCGCCTATTAATTTGAAATGTCGTACGAACTTTAATCCAAGCTACTCACGCTGACAGCGTGACTGCCGCTTAAGCAAGCCTGTATTGACGCCAATGGACAACCTAGAAGCATACGTGTATAGCTACATAGCTTACATATGTACCTATGTGTGCGTGGCTTTGAACACACGCAACTGATGTGTCTTGCCGCGGTGAAATACTTACGATTATAATGAACTTTTTATGCAGATGGCTGACAGTTTGGACTAAAAGAAACGGGGGCGTAAATACAAGCGTGAAAAAGAGGGATATATAATAAAAAAAACAACATAACTTGCGGTTCAATGCAGGCGTGTATACATATACATATATAAAGCGTGTATACATATACATTTGTTTGTCACGCGCATGCTTTAATAGCTAGCAAATACGAGTACTGGAAGCATAAAGAAAACATTGGCATTACTTATGACATATGCGCGTTGTTTGTTTATTTTTTTATACTCGCATACATATTTTCGAGAATAAGCAGCCATGATTATATATTCGCTGACAT